CTTGGTGTGTACTCATACAATGACACCAAATTGCTGCAAGTAGATTTCCTGAATAATTTTAAGGCAAAGAATATAGAAAAGAGCACATGAAAAAAAAAAATAGTTCTCTCTGCTAGCCTGCCTAGACTTTTAACTACCAAAGGAAACACATTTGATACTTTGTTTCTTAAAATCTTCTTCAAGTTCTCTTTTTGAAACCTCTGTGAATTTAATACATACCATCAAATATAAATGCCGATTTTTAGCTGTAACATAGAAAAAGATGTGTTTGTTAATCACGGGACTTGCACCATCTTTCCTTTGGTACTAAAGGATCTTGGCTCAAACTAAAATAAATTAGGATTCCTGCTGTGAGTTGAAAGAAGTCCTGAAGAAAAGTCAATGTAGATATCTTCTTTATAAAAGCTGCATGCTAAAATATCAGATATATTCATACCACTTGAGAAAAGAATGAGAGCAATGTTTGGCTTTACTTACCATAGGAAGAAGCAATTCAGGAAATTTTTTAACTCAGTAACTATATGTGCATTAATTATATGTGTGTGTATGTATATATAAGTGTACATATGTATAATTTACTCCAGGTAGACTAATTCCAAAGACTATATTCTTAACTATTTTAAACAGATAGCTATACAAATTAAAGTGGGATAAACAATCTCATCATTAGATAAGCATGTGACTGTCTACATTAGTAATTCAACACTATACATACATAGAGCACTATTCAGGATTATGTGATAAAAAATTAGCAAAGGAAGATAATAAACAAGGTTATTAGACACCTCTGTAAAAAAAATTCATATATAAATTAACAGTCTATAGGTCACCTAGGGATAATTCTAAGAAAATATGTACAAGATCTTCATGGATAAAAAAACATTCGCTAAATGGTTTTATATAATATATAAGTAAATCTGAATAAATTCAAAGATAATGGAAGAGAAAATTCTGACAGGTTGATTAAAATTGAATCAACTCCCAGGTAGGATTTTTATGAAAATTGATATTAAACTTTAAAATTCATATGGAAGAGAGTCAAAATAGAAGAGCAAAATATCAAGATATAAATATATAGTAATTAAGATTGTGATAGTGGAAGGATATTAGAATTTCAAACACACTGTTCCTATGTGACATTCATACCAATGTCCCTTGTCACCATCTGTGACTGACCGTGACAAGCCCTGCGGTAGACTGGATAATGTATGCCTAACGTTAGAAATTGCCACAGTCCATGAACTTTGGCTCCTATGTCATGGAAGACTTGTCATCATTCTGAGTGTTCTGTCAAGAACACTGAATTTAGGAACGAAGAGCAACTTAGTAAGACATGTTATCTCTGTCCTGCAGGTCAGGAAGCAGGCTCAGTGAGGTTAAATTTTTCAAATGCACAACTAATCATAGTCAAATGCGGAACTTACCCAAAATCCGTCTTGTGAGGTCAGATGGCCTTTATTCGATGCTGCACTTAGCACAGCACACTTCATATGTTGCTTCCTGTCAAATATGATGACACTCTAACTTCTATTTTATTTACTAATTCCCATCACAAATGTCTATCATATAAAGTTGGACCATATAAAATTGTCAATATTTTACCATCTTTGGAAAGGAAGGACTAGAGTCAAAACAAGGGGAGAGGTGCAATTGTATGGGGAACATAACCAAAATGAAAATGCATACATTGTGCAAAGATGAAAAAAGATGTAAGAATTATATAAAATAAAATATTTAAATAAAAAAAGCAATTTCATATGGCTCAACCTAAAATATTTTCTTTGTGTAATAATATGGAGAAATAATTTAGAAATTAACATATGAATTCCTTACTAGACATCCTTGAACTTATTTGGATTATACCTTGTTAAGCCAGATAGGTAGAGGATTTCTAGGAATGAATGACAAAATTTCTAAGGGAAACACAGTTTGCCCTTGATGTGGTTTGGAATGTGGGTTGGATAGGAGATGAGGAACTTAGCATTGCCTCAAACTGTGCAAATGAAGAGACAAATTTATCCATATTGCAAGGATAATGGAATCTTAACATTTTCCTACATATTTCTTGAGAGCAGTCAGCACCAGATCTGTGTTTACTTACATGGTAGCAGTAGGCATTCATTTGAACTTTCCTGAACAATTATTCCAATTAAATGTCAACATTTTACTGGATTTCACAGAAGATGATCAAATTTTTTAGAGTACTTTGAGCATGTGCTTGAAATGTAAAAGGTATTCATTTAAAAAAAAAAAAAGATTAGATTTGTCTATCAGCTACAAGGCCAGTAAGAATATTCTGTCAAGATAAAGAAATTAATCTTTGTTCCATAAACTAATAAACTGGTCACATAAGAGAACTCTGCCCATAATTTTTAATAGAGCAATTGCAAAAATCAGCCCCTCAGCTGTCCAATTACTATAGTAAGTAAAACAGTATGATATTAGAATAAAAATGAACAGATGAATAGAAAATAATTGAGAGCAGAAATAAACTCATACTTTATATGGACAGGTAATTTACCAGAAAGTAAGCAAGAGTACACAAAGGAGAAAGGAAAGTCTCTTCGATGTATGGTGTTGGAAAACAGGACAGTCATATGCAAAAGAGTGAAACAAGACCACTATCTTATACCGTACATAAAACAGTAACAATGGTTCAAAGTGGACTAAAGAGTTGGGTGTTCAAACCTGAAATCATAAAATTGAATAAAGCACAGGCAAAACATTTCACATCACTGGCTTCAGGGATGTCTTTGGGGGCTCAACAACAACAAGGAAAACAAAAAGTAAAAATGAAACTATCATTATAATGAAGAAACGCCTAACTGACTGAAAGAAAATATCTGCACATCAAATATGCGACAAGGGGTTGATAATTAAGATCTACCAAGAACTCATACAACCCAATAAAAAGAAAACTAATCCAATGAAGTGCTAATAAACACTTCCCCAAAGCCAACATATAGATCTTCAATAAGCATATAAAAAATGCTCATCAGGGCCTCCCCAGTGGAGCAGCGGTTGAGCACTGGTTTGCAAAGCTGCCCGCAGCCTCTACAGCGCCAGTTCTATCCCCCGCCACTGGCACGCAGACCTCTCCTGCTGCCCGCTGCTCCCCTCAGCAGTGTACTTCATCAGTCTGCCTGTTCTGCTCCCCGCTCTGGCTCTGGTGAATTCTCTCACCCTCCCACACATCTGGACTGTACTCTGGTTCTTGTATAATAAATAAATAAATAAATCTTTAAAAAAAAATGGTCATCATTGGGCCTCCCTGGTGGTGCAAGGGGTTGAGCACAGTGCTGTGACGCTGTCTGCAGTCTCTTCGTGTGAGTTCAACCCCCAGGCAGGGAGCTACCCACATGGTACAGCAGACCTCTACTGACTCACCCGCTGCTCCCCTCAGCAGTGTACTTCGGTCTTTCTGCCTGTTCTGTTCTCCACTCTGTCTGGTGAATCCTCTCACCTATCACACACCTGGCCTGTACCCCAGCTCTTGTAATCATAAATAAATAAATCTTTAAAAAAAATGCACATCATCGCTTATAAAGGAAATGCAAGCCAAAACTGCAGTAATATACCATCTTATACTTGTGAGAAATACCTCTATCAAAAAGACGAGAAATGACATTTGTGCAAAGAAAAAGGAATTTTCATACAGAGTTGGTGGCATATAGACTGGTCCAGCCCCTATGGAAAACACTATGAAGATTTCTCAAAATATTACAAATAGACCTACCATATGATCCAGCAATTCCACTTCCAGGTATCTACCTGAAGAATACAAAACACTAATTCAAAGGGACATATGCCCTTCTATGTTCACTGCAGCACTATTTTCAATAGCCATATTGTGGAAACAACCTACTTGCTAAACAACAGATGAGGTGCATATCCACAATGGAATATTACTCAGCAAATAAAGAAAAAAAATGAGGGCCTCCCCAGTGGCGCAGCGGTTGAGCGTTGGGTTGCGAAGCTGACCGCAGCCTCTGCAGCGCTGGTTCGATCCCCGACTGCTCCCCAGCCACTGGAGGAGGGTCCTGCATGGCACGCAGACCTCTCCTGCTGCCCGCTGCTCCCCTCAGCAGTGTACTTCGATCGTTCTGCCTGCTCTGCTCCCCGCTCTGGCTCTGGTGAATTCTCTCACCCTCCCGTGCTTCTGACTGTACCCAGTGCTTGTATAAATATAAATAAATCAACAAATAAATAAAAAATATTTAAAAAAAAGAAAAAATGAAATCTTGCCACTGTGACAAAATAAATAGACTGGGGGGTGGGGGGTTACACTAAGCACAGTAAGTCAGAAGGAGAAAGATAAATACTAGTTGATTCCACTTATATAAACAATACAATCTCTAGAAATATGACCACTGAATTGGTGCTACCAGAGGGGGTCCAATGGACTACAGTGCAAGACAGTGTGTTTTGGTGGTAGTTGTGTTGTGTGAACAGACATCTGAAGATGAGACCCTGTATACCCCTAAGTTACATACAGTTTTGTAAACCAGTGTTACCTCAATGAAAAATTATACAGTTTAAAAAAAAGTTTGAGTTAATGCTAAGTGTAGGAAGCTTCATTACAATGTTCCTTGTGATTTCCAAGAAGTATGTGTATGGATGTTCTCCAATTTATGTATTTTAGCTCTCCCCCCACAATGTATAAGTGTCTTAAATACAGAGGCCAGGTTTTGCATTTCTTTAATATTTCCCTCTACTACACTTCCTTCTCATGAAAAGTTTTAGTGATAAAACAATTCAATAAGTTGATATTAAGCCATAGAAATAGTGAAGATTCTATATAATCCACTGATTCTAAACTTTTAACTGCATTATAACAGAAATGGTGTGAAAAAGAAATCTCTGAATATTAAGTCCCTTATTATGAACATATTTAGAAGGATGCCTTTTTTATATTTAAGATAATCATCTATTACTATCATTACCATCATCATACAGTACCATTATGATACTTAGTGACTATTAGAAATCAGTTCAATTTGGGAAGAATACGTTAAAGAAAAAAAAACACTGAGATTAAATAATTTATTACCATTTCTAAGATGAACACATTTACTTGATACTTAATTTTATGCAGAACTTTAAAAAAATAGTTTTAATACAGTATCAAAATGTACACAAGATTTTTGTCAAAAGACCAGTGTTCCTGGTATTATCGTCTGCAGGCTCTACTGCAGGCACAAAAACTTGTTTTAATTGTCAGTGTAGGAATACAACAATTTAAGGATAAAAGGTTTTCTATGTGAGAAGGTGTAAATATAGCAAGCAATTTTCTTTTACAGAGTAATAGTATTTCAAAAATATATAACATATTAAAAGTAAGATAAGCTTAAATGGTAACCCAATTATGGTAATTAGAGAGATAATTCTATAGTAAATTAATTCATAAATATTTTCTGAAAATAGAAGATGAGGTTTTCTCCACACTAACATTTTAAAAGTATAACAAAATCCTTCACATTCCTTCACCAATGGCAATTAATACACTGTGTAATGAGCCCATTTAAAAACAACAATAGAATATCTTCTATGAATCAAATCTAATTCAGAAGAAATTCAAAAACTGGGAATTGTTGCATTCCTACTTTTATAATCTTAAACTACAGTAAAAACGTAGCATTCTGTCACAGGCCTCTTGCACATTCATACAAGAAACTATCATTTCATTTGGATAAACACAAAATACTTATCATAGCATTTCCAATACACACAGTCTAATATTTATATATACCAAAATAAGAAATAAACTAAGCAAAGCTAGCACACCTCTTTTTCAAACCTCAAGCAATCTGAACAAGAGCTTTTAGCCTCAATAATGGACATGCAGTGTCAGTTTCAGAAAACATTAGATAACTGCTATAGGCAAAGAAAGCTTTTTTCATAAATGCAGTGCAATATTTTAAAGTTTACACAAAGATTATTAAATGTCACATGTCTAGAAACTAAACTGCAGAAACTGACATCTCATAGCTGGAATCACTTAGAAAAATTATGTTAACTTGTTTTTTAATTCAAATTGTTAATATTAACATCAATGGAGATACTGAATTAATACAGAGGTTGATATGTCCCCAAAATGTGTCTTTATAAACAATACATCAACATTAAAAGAAATAATAGGCTTGTTTTGATCAGATGACATACATGGTACTCTGATGAGCATTCTACAAAGTCTTGCTACCCTTCTAGCTGGTAAGAATTTATGTGATATTTTAGCACCTCAAAAGTAAACAAACAAAAAGAAAACAGAAATGTAATCTTACCTGGCATCCAAATTAATTATGCATCAGGAACTAGTATGTTGTTGCCTAAAATATAAGAAATAGATGCCTAACTCTCAAACTTGGGAAGCTAGAAGACACCTTTTCTTATCTTCAATACAACATGGTAGAAAACTACCACCATTATATGCAGTGAGTCAACTCTACCAAAACCACTGGATTCTCCCAATCATGCAGATCTGAGGAATGAACATTGTTTCTGTTCTAATGAAAATAGTGGTACCAAAATGGTGGTTTCAAAGCTATCTTGTTTGACTGCTGTGGACACCAAAGTGAGAGACATAAAATACAGTTAGTTATACTAAAGGACTTAGAGGGAAAAGGATGCAGTGAATCATTGCTCCATGTTATTCCATATTAGTCCACCTTTGTGGAATCCTCTTCTCTCTGGCAGTGGTGATCACATGTTTGAAAAGAGAGTACTTCTCTCACATTGGTCCTTTGTACTGGTTTCCAGACAAATGTTGTCTAATTCCAGGACAGGAACCTGCAGCATCGCCAAGTTTCCTCCATACAACCTTAATCAAAAGAAAAGAGAAAAAAAAAAAAGCATCTTAATTGTCCTCTTCTTCCATGAGATCTCAAGTTTTCTAAGGGGGATATAGAAGAGGAGCAATGCAGAATTTGAAGACAAGAGACAATACCCACACAAATGCCACACAAACAATAAAAAGTGATGCAAGCTTGTAAATCACAAAAGGTTCTGATGGAACTAGTAAAGGTGGCAACCATACAGCCACTAGTAAATCCTCCCCTCTTTTTTTTTTTTTTTTTACAGAGAGGACATGGTAGCTCAGTCATCCTAAATCTTGGCTTCCAAACAGTATGCTATCTCAGATTACAAAAAAAAAAAAAAAGCATCCAAATGCTGAAAAAAGAATAAATTAAAGAATCACTGAAAAAGAGTCAATCAGAGTATATTAAAAATTGGGCTCTTTTCAGAAAGCAAAAGAAAAATACCGGACGGTCTCACTCATAGCAGGGATCTAGAAAACTTAAATAAGGGACCAGGAAAATGAATAACTATAAGAAAGAAAAAATCAAAATCAACAAACAACTATAAACCAGAGACACACTATGGGGGGTGGGGAAAGGAGGGTTTGGGGTGAAAATAAGGGGGTGCAATTGTATAGGGAATATAAAAATTTTTTTAAATTAAAAAAAAGAAAAAAATGGGCTTTTTTGAGGGGCAATAGCAAAAGGTGAGGTCAACAATTTTACTTTTACATTTATATTCTTTTTTTCTTTTATGCTTACATCATTCTTAATCTCCTCAAGGAGATACCAGTATGCTGACAGAACACAGACACATATGAACAGCCAAAACCCTACAAGAGTAGTTCACTGAAAAGATTATGTTCAGATTGATAAATCCCACAAAAATTCACATTGCTCTAACATGAACACAAAACCAGTTGGTTCATTAATAGAACAGATATCCCAGGAAAACCCAAATCTCTTCATATTGACATGTGAGAATGTATGTCTAAATCAGTCTCTGTCTTTTTTTTTTTGTTTTTTTTTTAGAAATGTCCCATCATATTTGAAAGGCATTCTAGTTATGGTCCTTAAATATTTGTAAAGGAATGATACAAGAGTGGATGACTCACATTGTCCACAGGAACTAGGAAAGTCTCATCTCACAATAAACTGTGAAGTGATAGAAATACTGAATCAGGAAACCAAGGGATGCTCCTGACTTTCCCTTTTTAGTCTTTAAGTAGACTATACACTCACACCTACCCAGGATGCTTTGAAATTCTAGTTTACAAGCTAAGAAGATTGCAAGACCTCAAAGGATCATATGCAAGCAGTAAATGCTTACACTTGAGTGCACCTCCCCTAAAGTATTCACATGTACAATGCAGTGGGATCTTAGCCCTGAAATTACCGCGTGGTGCAAAGAAAATCTTTTTTTTATTTAAATATTTTATTTTATATAATTCTTACATCTTTTTTCATCTTTGCACAATGTATGCATTTTCATTTTGGTTATATTCCCCATACAATTGCACACCCCCCTTATTTTGACTCTAGTCCTTTCTTTCCTCGTCCATCCCCTCCCCCCCATAGTGTGTCTCTGGTTTATAGTTGCTTGTTGATTTTGATTTTTACTTTGTATTGATTAGTCTTTTTCCTGGTGTCTTATTTAGGTTTTCTAAATTCCTGCTATAAGTGAGGCAGAACTAGGCAACAATACAAAGGTGAACAGCAGTGATGTGCTCACTGAGAGAGAGATAGGTGTGTTTTAACATGTGACTAAGGTGACAAGTATGTCAACTGTTCTCCAGGAATTTATAAGCAACAAACACATCTAAAACTAAAACCATTTCTAGGGCCTCCGCGGTGGCGCAGCGGTTGAGCGCTGGGTTGCAAAGCTGCCCGCAGCCTCTGCAGCGCTGGTTCGATCCCCAGCCACTGGCGAGGGTCCCACATGGCTCGCAGACCTCTCCTGCCGCCCACTGCTCCCCTCAACAGTGCACTTCTGTCCCTCTGCCTGCTCTGCTCCCCGCTCTAGCTCTGGTGAATTCTCTCCCCTCCCGCGCTTCTGACTGTACCCAGTGCTTGTATAAATAAATAAAAAAACAAGAGTTCTCCTTTTTAAAAAAATAAAAAAATAAAAAAAATAAAACCATTTCTACAAAGAGGTACATATAGTGTTTCTTTCTTTCTTTCTTTTGTGATCTCTCTTGCCTGTTTCAAGTGCTGCATAGAGCAGTTAGCATGATGTTGTGTTTCTTAGAGAGCAGCATGGGAAGAGAATAAAAGCACTTCATGTTTTCTACCCCACCCAATGGAGCTGTGAAAATGCAGCCCTTCATTTTATAGATAACATCAACATATCCCCAGGAGTACTACAAACTGAGGCCAGAGTTATCTTAAGTTCTACCTGAGTCTTGTAACATTTTCTCATAATGTGATATTGATTATATTTCTGTGGTTTCATAATCACTTCATCTATGAAGCTCTCGCAAGTTGTAGTTTTCCTTATTCACTGTCTTTGATGTTCATATCATTTATAATGATGACACAAATATTTTAGATCAACACTTTCCTCTTGGCTTTTAATAGTTTCCAAATACAAAAGTGCTAAAAGTCAGATTTGGGCTGTCCCACAATATTTTCTCTTATTTGGGGAATCAAGGGCTAAAGCTGATTAGTTAGAAAAAGTGCCCTAGAGAACTTTCAAAAGTAAACAGGAGGGAAAGCTTTTAACTTCATGAAGTATCATATGTAGGAAGAAAACAACAATACCGCTATATGCTGTCTTTTGAAGCATTTTTTTGAGACACAGGCAAACCAAAAGACTAATAAAAAATGAGTTAGGACCCAGTCCATTAATGGGGTCACTTATGTGATTAATAAATGACTTTTCTAATGTCCACAAATCTTTCATTAAAGAAAAGTAAAGAAATGATCCTGGCATTTTTTTACAGAAATTCTGGCATTAAGGTGATGGAGATGATCTCCTCTCTAAGATGCATTGATTGCTCCTCTTTTGTGAGGAAAGAAAATGGAAGTCTCCAAATTTACCACATTTAGAGAAGTGGAAAGAGCTGGTTGTCAAGAGATCTAGGTATATGCCTGACTTCACTGGAGAACGATCTGAACAAGTAAATTAATTTCAGTGTCATAGTTTCTTTAAACACAGAATACTAAGATCAGGGTTCCTGACTTAGGGAGGCCTTTCCAAATCACCTAGGTTCTGGGGTGAGACGTCAACATGTGAATTAGGAAGGCGCTCCATATACTACTCTGCAGAAGTCACCCTCCAGGAGTTCTCCAGAGCCACCTCTGATTCTCCAAGTCCTAATATCTGAACAGTACTTCTCTCTCAGTAGATGAGTCAATAACAGTCATTGCTAGCTATACATTTCAAATTCTGAATTTATCTGAGGGAAGTACTCAAATTGAAACTCTTTCAGAACAAGTTGAAAATCTACAGAAAGTAAAAATAGCGATGTATTTAAAATTTATGACATCAGAGCTTTAATACAGACAAAACACAAACACACGGAAAAGAAAAATGGGTACCTTGGAAAGGGCTGCAAAAGAAAAGTCACAACACAAGGAAGCAAGAGACAAATTCTTACCCAGCACATATAAAATACTTGTAACATATGTAACATAAAACTTAAGTAACATATACCAGGAACATTTTAAGGAGGAAGATAAGTGTCTAAGAATATCTGGACCTAATAGCCTAATGCTTCAGGGTATTTTGAGCAATTTTGATATCCTAGTGGATAAAGAATATAAGAATAAAATATAAAACCAATTTAAAAATCAGCGCTTAATATAACCTGTCAGTTTTTTTGCTTTAAACAAACATCTTCCTCTACAACACTATTTAGCTCTTTAATAAACTTCACAAATTATATTGCTGATTAAATGATACATCCATGCATTATACCCCAAAATTTAAAATTCAGGGATTAATAATAAAATCCAAACTACATCAATGATTACATAGGCTATGCAGCATGAAAACAGCATGTTGAGTCTTCACTGTGCTCCTCTCTGACTTCATAGGTAGATTTCCCAATATCTATCTCTATCTTAAGTTCCAATATATCTATAATATGTCCCCTTCCTATTTTCTGAACTCATATTAACCAATGAAAGGTAAAGATACTATTTGGCAAAATATGAAGCAATATATACCTTTGAAGAACTAAGCAAATATTACATATTAAGATGATCTTTCCCCAAGGATAGCTACAAATATATCTGAAGGCAACTATGTTCTCTTTATCAGATAACATTGGTATTTAAAAAACTTCTTAAAAGTATGAAATGGAATTCTTTTTATCAAAATGTCAAGTACATTTTAGACAAATTTAGAAAAGATCGTTCTGGAATACGGAATTGGTTGATAATCTCTTACCTAAATGGTCTGCAATGTGATTATTATGTTAATAAGACTGCAATAAAATATACTAAGGATAGTCATAAGGGGAATTCATTTTCTTATGAAAATGTAAACTCATTTTTGGTCAGCATTTAAAAAGTCAGTATTCATAAAGCAGTAACTAAGCTGTGATGAAGCTTTCAACACAGAATACACAATAAAGCACATTAAACTTACATTGCACATTTCTCTGACTATAGCTTTTTCTGTCTCACTAAGGTCATGTCCATACTCTTTACCCTGTTGACGATCTATAGTTTCCTGAACATCTGAGACCTGGATTTGTGGAAAAAGAAAAGCAAATTTCACATGGAAATTAACTTGTTAGTTAAGAATAAAACCATCAAGGTGCTCCACTTTGTAAAGCCTACAGTTTTCTCTGTGTCTGCATATCAGAGTGGATGAGTATATGGCAAAATCTTTAAACATAGTTGATTGTTCTGAAACCCCCATCTGAGATCAATTCTACTTGATTCAAGACTCTATTAAAAACAATCTGTTGCATCACTGATAGTCAGTTGAATTCTTTAATGTCTAATTAGGTGCATTTAGTTAATCTGGTCATTAAGATAACTATATGAAGATAGCCAATGATACTTGCTCCATTGTAAAAATGAGCAGTATAATCACATGCCCAACAGTCCACATAATATGTAGACATAGCCAATAGGAAGGATGACTGGAAAAGATGATAGTGACAGGGGAGCTGGTCAGAAGCCAGGAATATGTACATATGGATTAACATTATCACTAATGACCTCATAGTTCTTGCCTAGACTTATTCCCAGTGCCTAGGAAAGGGCTTTAAATAGCTCACTGAGAGTAGTGGTTCCTTACAGTGAAAATATTTTAGTAACAGTTTAAATAGTTTCCATTAGAGCAAAGTGTCTGGGGATGAGAGGCTGTTAATTTTAGAGGCCTATGATGAACTTCTCTAAATCATACCTGAATGTATTAAAAATTATTTTATAGAGATCATTAAACTTCTTGTGTCCATACTTTCTATAGAGTACAAAAATTTTGGCTTTGAGTACTTTTATATTTCTCCTCATCAGCTTACAAACTAAAGCATTAATGTAGCATAATAAACCAATGCTTTTCTTAAAAGTTTCTATAGAATCTACTCTGAATGCTGCTCAACTCTGGTTCTATTGTCATCATGGTGAGTGCTGATGGCCACACCTAAGAATTTGCACTAATGAACATCAGAGCCAAAATAAATGACTCAAGCATGAAGTGGGACCTTCATGTCAAATTCATTTATACTGAGACTACACTGATATTTACTAGAGTTCAATTCTATAATAAATAATCTAATTCACAAAGTACTCTCTTGTTAATCGAAACAACTGGTCATTATATGTGGATATGACTGTAATAGATGAAAGCCTCATCCTGTTACTCATCTCAGATTAGTAAATTCACATCCTTTACATACTTAGAGGAAACAAATGACTGTGCTTCTTAAATATTCATAGAACACTTAAAAGGCTGGAACAAGCTCATTTGCCTATGAATTTGATTTATAATGCATCACAGAGAAGTGTACTTCAAATCAGTTAATTTCTCACTAAATGAAGTGAAATTCCAATTAATAATTATCATGAAGTTTAAAGCAAGAAAAGTGTGGTGTTGTTATAAGTAAGATAATTTCTCATCCTGATTTATAAATCTTGCCCCCAAAGCAGGACCACAGTGTTTTCTAAAGTCTGGATTATTGTTTGTTTTGTTTTTCGTTTTTTGTTTTTTTCCCAGATCTCTCAAAAGATGAGAAACTGAGCCATTGTTCTAGTTACTCCTTTGAGAATAGATAAACATGTCAGCTCCAGATTGGTGGGTTTCAAAAACAAGTGGCTACATATCTTTTAGTTACATAGAGATATTCTTAAAATGCATTTCCCCTAGAATGTGCACATATTTCTGTTTCAGGTCACAGTTGTTAATGAAGGAAACATTCTATATTCAAGAGTCTCCAGTTATCCAATAAAGATGCTTTAAGTAAGGACACTTTCGAGTTCTGATTATAACATAATATCTTCCTCTTGAGATAAAATGTTATAGGAAAATTAGAGAACAAGTTCAGTGAGAATTGAAGAGCTCTTCCTTGCCTTCCCCTTCCTTTTTGGATAAACTAACAGCTGCATTGAGAAATTTGGGAAAGATTGCGATGCAGCCCTGTATGCTAATCTGATTCAAAATGCACTTGCCATTTAATAAATCAACAGGCTGAAATAGCTTTCAAACTGTTTGAAAAAGAGGGCAATGTGTTGCTTTTGGAGTATGTGCACATACTACTACTACTATAGGATTGAAGTCACTCTCTGCTCTATTTTTTATTTCCAAAATACTTTTCAGACAGTTAGCTACTGATTCATGCTAAAGGAACAGCATGCTTAGCATGAGCTGCTCATGCTAAACAGCATCAAAATGCTACTGCAGAGAGCATAATAAACCAACTTGCACCGGATGCAGGGCAGTGTCCTGCACTGTGGCGGCCCTTCCCAGGAATTCCTTTCAGTTGCTCACTTTATGAGTTGCCCCTACCAACACAGGAAATGCATGCCCACTAGCCACCATCATGCTTCTGTATAGCAATCAATATATGCTTGGGGAAAGGAAAGTCATTCTGTGTAAGTTACAGCAAAAGATAATAAGGAAGCTAAGTTTTTGCCTAAAACCAAATCTTTCCCAAATCAAATGTTCTAAAGTTCTCATCTGCTTTTGGGTGTCCCAGGAAAAGTGTGCCTCACTCTGAGAGTACATCTTCATTATCAAAGTGATGACAGGAATGTTTTGAAATGTATATTGCAAAGCAGGACTAAAGTACTTTACCTACTTTATGGCTCAGAAAGGTCTGATCAAGGCTACATATGTTAGGAATTACATAGATAACTTGGTATTGATTAAAACTTCCAGAAACAGCCCCAATTTTTAATATGATTTTTATTGCCTGAGTCAGTTTCTTTGCTAGGTAAATAGGTATTTTTTTATTATTTTATTCATGGTGCTTACTGATTATTAGTTTTGCTTATTGGAAATTCTATTATTGGTCAAGAAAAGTAAATTATAAATTTCAGCCAGATCTTTTTTGAAGCCATCACATAATCTTAAGTAAAAGCCAAAATTAAAATAACTTTATAGGTAAGATCAGATACATCTATTGCCTAATAACTTCAGAAAGAAGCATGAACTAGAGCTTGAATCTTTCTGATATGGTATCCTTCCTTATTTTGACCTTCCCCCTTAATTCCCTATATTTGAAGACATCTGTGATACAAACATTGTACATAAAATGCCTATAACAATATTTCACACATGGATAGACATGCACATCAAATTTCATCTGTGATGCAGCTATACATGAGTCACAATACTCAAAACAAAATGATAAGAGATTCAACCATAAGTACTCAAACTCATTGTTTTAAAAAACTAAAATCATGTTTCAAAAATTAAGAAATGTCACAGTGTAAAGGGTCAAAACAATAAGTATCTATGATTAAAGCAAGACTGTGAGGATTACTAGACTACAGCAAACAAGCAACAACACAACTGAAGTTCTGCATAAATGGTTGCACACAAGTCAGTTACCTTAAGAGAATGTACCACGGGTTCAGGCTGCTGAGAAGGTGTGGTATGTCCACTGAGGCTAGCTGGAGAGTTGGGTGAACTGTTAGTCCCATCAGCCCCTGATGACAACCTAAAAGAACCCTTAGTAGAAAATCAACAACTTTGTTACTAAAACAAAAGTCGTTTATAACTGTATAGATGTCATTCAATATTGATTTTCACTGCCAAATAAGAATTAACCATTTTTCCCCTAGCCTGTCCTAAGTGGCTCTCAGCCTGCTACTTAGAATACAATTGCTGCTTGACCAGTAAGGAAACTTAACCGAGAGGCATCTCTGTGGATGTCTAGATGTCATCTCTGATTTACCAAAGAGCAATGCCCCCTAAGGAATGACCATTAAGGATATTTCAAATACAATTTTGAAACATAAAGATACTCAAAAGTAGAGAATTTGTGAGTTATTCCATAGCTGAGTTAAACATGCTCACTCAGCTACTCAAACGCCATATTCTATATATCTCAGAAAATGCATTCACATCACATTTTTACATTGGAAAAACCATGTCTCTTATAAAACCCTTACAAAAACCTAGTGTGGAATATTTTCCAAAGACATTTAATGAAATTAAATACTTTCTTTAAGAAAGAATTCTCTTATTTTCTGGTCTTTTAAACAAGAAACAAAACATCACAAATTGCATTTTAGTTTAGTGACTCTGACGCTTAATTATGAGAAATAAGAAGCTGGGCATGATTAATTTGATCTTTGGGTGTGATCACCCATACAGGAACTGGAAAGCAGTAACAACTGTTTTTCTAGGGGTCACTTGGGGGAAGACTAGTGGGTCAGGAAAGAAAAAGAGAGCAGCAGTTAACCTACTCTCCTAAAAAACAAAAAACAAAAAAAAAGTCTAATTGGAATTTTCCAAACCTGTTTTTCTATAAATCGTTATACTCAGAGGTCCTGACAGATTTTAATTTCTCTAACACATCTACATATCTCTTTTCTAATAGATTAATTACTGTTCCATTCAAGTTGATCCTATGAATCTCATCCCCAGAAAAAGCCACTGAAGGTACATCAAGTATGAATTCATAAAGGGGAAAAACAGTGGGTTGGGACATTTTCCAGCATCTATAGAAGAGCTACTACATGGTACCTTTTAGGGATTGGAGAGAAAAACTGAGTACAGCAACAATTATCGACATGGGATATATGTAAACCATACTATTTCGAGATAAATTGACAATTCCCATTAATTTAAAAAAGATTATTATTGATGAAATTTGAAATAGTTTCTCCTGTCCCTTGACCCTGTTCCCTACATCCTCAAAGGCTCCCTTTGCCTTGATGTCCCACAAACCAGCTAAAGCCATGATCTTTCCCTTGCTCAAAGAGTTATACAATCAAATCAGCTCTTGCACCACCCTTACTAGCCTATAAGCACAAGCAACAGAGGAATATAACATTTTGATAACTTGTATGGCTCCCGTCCTCCATTGCTAGTAACAATTAATAGTTGGTGGTGACATAGGAAAGTCAATCATAATAGTGCCAACCCATTCTGGGGAAGAACTTTAAAATTTGTTTACCTTGTTATTCGGATCAAATCAGACATAATGGTACCCAATAGAGAAATATAAGAGAAACTGTTTAAAGTTTAAAGATGGTTATGGGCAAACTCCCCTCCCCATCCCACTATTAAATCTGGGACATCGTCTTCCTCTGTGGAGATCAAATGGTTCCCAAATGAAGGATCTATGAAGGAATCTCTTCTTCCCTGAATAACTGGGGTCCTCAACTATGTTTTTCCCTACTGGTACCACCCTTACTTAACTCCTTTAAGAAGGCATCTGAGGTTCTGCAGAGTTTATGTCAAACCTGATTTAGGACTGACCAATGCTCTGCCATTTTTCCTATCACACATTAGTCTAACTTGGAGGCAATAATCTTTTACCTTCTTGACTACTCTCTTTTCAGTTCCTTCCTCTCAAACTTTTTTCTGCCTGACAAAGTGACAGGCATTCGGTTTTTACTCTGTCTTTCCAGACATTTTGAGTGAAGGCAATTTCTAAAATGGTTAGGATTGTTTAAACTTAAGAAGATTCCTGTTCTACCTTTATTCAGAAGCAGACATTATTTTAAGGAAACTGGTAAGATACATACAATAGTAAAAGGCTACAGCAGAAGTACAGTGGGAGGGGAAAAACTTATTCTTCAGGAATTAAAGTCATTTGTTGAATGACTTTATTCAAATTTACTTTCTAAGCCATGGACTAGTAACTACCAGGAAGACCAAGGCTTGTATTTTATGTGAAGCCACAAAGGTCATAACCCAAATCCTCCTAAAGTTGTATACCAACAGGTGTGAAATAGTTCTCTAGATTATAACATGATCAAGCACCAAATTCTATACATCTCATTCAGTTGCTATCAAAGGTTAAAACTTCTGTGTACTTAGTGGAATCAGACCAATATTTAGAGAATTATCTCAGTTCAATCAATATACTCTCAGTTGACTAATACATTTTCACTGAGGTATTTTTTGAAATGTGTTACTGAATGAAATACCAGTATAACAAATGATTTTAAACAGTCCCTTGAAGTTTATTTCAATGAGATTAAGCCAGTGGATATAAATTTTGTAACTTGGCTGCCTCAGAAGACAGGGAATTTAAAGAGGCAAATCTTAACAAAATCAGAAATGTCATGTCCAGCTTCAGGATGGCTGAAATTTAAGTTACACATGATGATCGCATTATACCCAGCCCACCCCTTGGGTCAGTGGTCAGTTTGAAAGTGCAAGGATTATCTTCCTGGGCTGGGCTAGAAACAGCTGATGGTATCTAACTAACAATTCATTTCCATGGCTACCAACCTTTTCAGCTTTTTTCATGAAAGGTACAGGGTACCTTTGTTTTTCCCCAGTGTTTGGAGTTATTTCAGCTTTCCCCCCCCCGTTTCAGAAGAAGACAAAACACAAAATGCTAAAGGCAACTGTTCAGGAGATGAACGACTGCTCCCATTTCCCTCCCCAGACTCAAACACACAGTCACTTTCACGAGTACAGACATGTTCTCCACCCCCCAGCAGAACTGTGCCTCTAGCAACAGAGCCATCTGGTTATGCACAAGCAAATGCAGTGACTGACTCATCTTCACTCACCGGGAGAGTGGGCAGGCATCGTCCTATTCCTCGGCACCCTTGCCACCACTGCAAGACCCGCCGGGCTCTGGGCCCCCAGCCTTTCTCCATATTTGAGCTGTTTCTAGTTGGAGGTTGCCTTCTATTCTGGGTGGCCTTATATTTGGAACAATATAGTACAATCACTCAGAAAAAAGTACTGTTTCCCAAGTCTCAAGAAAGCAGATAGAACAAGAAGCTTAATGAAATGGACCACAATGACCACAATGGCGAGCTGTACGCAGCATGCACCTGTAACTAGGGAGAAAATTAAACAGTGAAGTCTGTATATTAAGAGGTAAGACTGAATTTTAAGAAAGGTTTTTGGCATAGGTGTTACTACTTTTTGAGCCATCAAGTAATAGGTGATAATATTAAAATTACAGATAAATTAAGGCTATTTAGACAAATGTATGCTACAGGTGTTATTTGTGAGAAACTGAATAACCTTAAGTCTTTCAATTATGTAAAACTGTAACTTCAAAATTAAACAGAAATTGTAAACCAACTCAGAGCATTGTACCCTTTTGTTAAGAAACACAAGTTTGGGTAGATCTATATTTAATATTATTCACAAGAACTGACTCTGTATCAAATTCTCAGCAAAATTTTTGTACATTAAAGAGTATGTAATCAGCAAAAAGGTCATCACTGCATTAAAATAACTATTTTACATAGGATAACTAGCAAAAGTTTTTAAATCAGTTAATCCTAAAATAGCTGTACTAGCAGTATTATATAACTAAAATAAGAAGCTACCCAAAGAATTCCCTAAATTTGTCTTTTCCCATAACCAAACTGTATAATTTTAAATGATCAGCAACAAAATGAACTTACATTAACATTATTTCCTCTCCCTGCCTAATTTCACTGAGATCTTTATCTAAAAATGCTAGGTCCGGAGGAGTAAAAAATACATATTTTAATGTGGAAAACTCATAAAATAGTAAAAAAAATCCAATATGTAAATGTTTACATTAATTTTAGGAGATTGAAAATGATAACATAGTGTAGAATTAAGGATACCAGAGGAGGAGTGTGGGGGGGAGGGGAGGAAAAAGGGGCCCCATGGACAGTGGTGAAGATTTTGGGTGCTTTAGTTGTGGGTGTGATGGGGTAACATACACCTGAGAGATGTGAAGCTGTATCTCTAATTCATACACAGTGCAATAAACCACTGCCTCAATAAAAAGCACAATTAAAGAAAATATCATAATTTATTAGTTTCCATTAATTCATTTTCCTAAAAATATGTGCTCTATTGTGAATAATACTTTAATTTTTGGAAGCTGAAAAATACAGAACATGTACAATGGTCTTAAGGGATGCAAAAGAGGAGCAATGATAACCAACAGTTGGTACTTACAAAACTCTTCTCTGAATATTTGAAGTCTGTACCAGTTACCTATCAAATAAGTAAGTTACTCATATTCCTCACATATGAAAAAAAATGCTATATTCTCACTTGGACCATATCAGCCATTTTATAATAGCAACACTGATTTGAACATTGCTCTTTCACGTGGCAGTGTTTATTTCCATCATCATAATAAATAGCTCTTTGTTATCTCTACAGTTGTCAATCACACTGTTTTAAGAAGATAGCTTCATAAAATATAATTATGTCTTCAGTAATTGGGGATTGAAGTTGTTTCTTGCAACTTTGGAGATTGAAATGGGGGACTCCTGATCCTAGCCATTGACTGGGTAAACAATTACAAACAACCACAAGAAAGTCCTTTCTATTTTCTGAGTAATTCTGTTTTCTGCAGTTTTCAAACATTCCAAATTAATAAAAAATAATGATTCTAGGGCCTCCTTGGTGGCACAAGGAATTAAGCACTGCACTATGAAGCAATCCACAGCCTCTGCAGCACAAGTTCGATCCCCGGCTGGCCAGGGAGAAACCCACATGGCGCAGCAGACCTCTCCTGCCTCACCCACTGCTCTCCTCAGCAGTGTACTCCAGTCAATCTGCCTGTTCTGTTCCCTGTTCTGTCTCTGGTAAATCCTCTCAACCCCTGCATCTCTGGCCTGTAACCCAGCTCTTACATGCATAAATAAATAAATCTGAAAAAAAAAAATAATGATTCTATCATTCCAATAGAAATCTACATACTTGTCAGTTATTAAATATAGAGGAATACAGAGTTACCTGCAAGTTATTTTGTATAAAAGATGGTTCATTGTAAATGCTAATTGCAAAGTAATGCTTCTGTATTAAGATTTTGTGGAAGGTAAATTATGATTATTTACTGTGGTTAAGTATTCATCATAGAAATCATGCATTCTGATGCTATAAGCAAACACCCTAGTGCAGGAAGAAAGCACTTCCTCCTGTCTCTGAAGAGAATGAATATATATTAGCACTTCTTTGCCTCTTATCACTTGATATTGGGCACATGGTCCTGAAAATACCTGCTCTTTAGAATTAAGAAAAAAACGAAGGTATTTTTAAAGATCATTTCAATGAGAAGAAAATCTACTGCTTATTTGTATCACAGTAAAATTATTGTAACATAAGTTTCAAGAAAACTGACAAGATTAAATTATTGTGATTAAGTTGTATTCTTGTTATTTTATTACTTTGAATGCTATTTTAATCAACTGTGTAGAAGTTTCCAGTCTTTGTTCTCAGAGATAAGTACATTCAAAAATATCTTTAAGAATAGCAGATTATAAAAAAAAAGAATAGCAGATTATTATATTTTTGTATTTTAGCATATAAAAGACAGGTTTCCCACTTAGATATAAATCAGACATGATGCATTTGTAAAGAAGCTTGAGAGCATGACTCTTATCTATTATAGGAAGTCAACTATGGAAATCTGAAAATTGATCGACTAAAGTTGCTTCCTGTTTGTTAAAGATGTTTAATTTTTTACAAGTCCTGAAGCTAGGTCAAACTATCATACAGTGGGTCATATTTCATCGGAATTCATGCCTAGTTTAGCAGCCAGGGGAGGAAGTCATTCTTATTACAGGGTAAGAGCAGATGCTTCACATAATATCAAAATATTATTTTGTTCAGTTTGACCAGTCTTCGTTCTGACATATTGCAAAACTAACACAGTCAAAACTCAGAAGAGATTTTAAAGGTTACCTTGCCAAACCTCCAAGATTCCTGTGAATGGGCTTAGAAATCCTAGGAGACCCTCTAATAGAGATGATATTTCATGCTACGCCAGGTAGGTGCCTATTCCAATAAATTTTTGTTGAAAAAGAAGTACACAATAAGGTCAAATTTCTAAGGTTTCTAGGGCCACACTGCATTGGTTCAGATTCCTGATCTGATACTTAGAGCTTCATGACCTCTCTGTGCCTCAGTTTCCTTATCTATAAAATGTGGGTAATTGTGGCACAGTGATACCTCTGCAGGTTTGGTCTCTGACATGAAAAGAGCTCTTCAAACACTGCCTGGCCCACATTAAGTGCTCAATAAGCATTTGCTGTCATTATCATGAATGTTTTTGTTTTGCTTTGTTTGTCAACACATTTTTTAATTTGTCAATCTACTTATAGATATTTGTATTTAGAACAGTAGTTCTCAACCCAATATTATTTACTCCTCCAGGGGCAACACTGGCAAAAATGTATGCAGCCATATTAAGTTGTCAAACTGAGCAATCTCTGTGGGCATTTAGTGAACAGAGGCCAAGGTTGCTGCATCTGACAATGCGCAGGACATCTCCCTGAAACAAAGAATCATCCAACCCAAAATGCCAATAGTGCTGAAGTTGAGAAAACTAGATTTAGAGTAAAAACCATGTTGGAAGGCTGCAAATTAAATTTTCTGGTGACAGCTCCCTAGCAGATTTTGCATATGAGCACAAGCTGCCCACATACTTTAGAAGTTGTGAAGATTTTAAAGGAAACTAAGATTAGACCTCAAGTGGTGTAAGTTTAAAGACATCCATATTTCCACTCCTAATAGGAAATTAGTCTTTCTAGCAAAAGAAAAAGAATTAAAAATATACAAAACAGCCTAGTATAAAACGGCAAGGCTAGCAAACAGAATACAACGTGGTGAGACACAGGGCACAGGTCCAAAGAGCAAAGAGCACTCAAAGTGGGAGTACAACACTCTGCAGCACTTTGAAAACTAAGACACCAGTTCCATGGAGAACAAAATTGGCAGAAGTTGCTTTGTAGAAATTATGGGGGCCTGGGAGAGGGAAGCTTCCTTGGCAATACAAGGGTAAAGACCATATTTAACTTTAAGCAGTCATACTGGGAGAGAATAAAACTGCCAGCAAATGGAAATGAGGGAGCCGATACACAAAACCCACTGCAGAGCATAATAGGACATGTAGAAGGAACAGGGAAAGGAAATCTGGGCCAGACCGCTAACCATTCTTTTCTTCACAAGTGGCTAAGTGAGGGCCTTCCTGGTAGTGCAAGGGTTAAAGACAGTGCTATCAAGCTACTGCCAGCCTCTAGAGCATGAGTTAGATCCCTGGCCAGGCAGGGAGCTAACCCACATGGCACAGCAGACCTCTCCAAGCTCACCCGCTGCTCCCCTCAGCAGTGTATTTCAGTCAGTCTGCCTGTTTTGTTCCCCACTCTGTCTCTGGTGAATCCTCTCACCCCCTGCACCTCTGGTTTACAGCCCAGTTCTTGTGTGCATAAATAAATAAATCTTTAAAAAAAAAAAGTGGCTAAATGGCTGTTTATGTTTGTCTCCTCGATAAGTAGAAGGCTCCTTGAGGGTATATGTCAGAGCAGCTCTCAATCATTAAGTTCCCACTATAGGTTAAGATTCTTAGGGCAGTCAAAACATTAGTAAGACTGGCTAATATGAACACCTATTACATGTTAATACTATTAAGAACTAACTGTTGATAGTCTCAATAATTTATACTCCATAATGATTTCTTTTGTTTGGTTGGCGCCCTAGAGGCCTCCTGTTTTATGTGCTCATCATTTAGCTCCTGGATGCAAGGAATTCAGGAGATTCTGGGGAGGCACCAAGATGGTTTGTGATTATTCAGAAATCAGAACAGAAACATATACTATTAAATGGTATGGATGAAGTGGTAGTTACCAATTGTACATCATCTCTGTGCTCATTTGTTTTTCTCCAGTCCAAGCACATAACTATGGCTGCAAGATTCTCC